TCGTCATACGGAATCTCAGTCATACACATCAATTCCATTTTAGATGAGCATTAATTTGGTATATAATACATTTTTATATCATCTGTAGTTTCAGCTCTACCCCCCTGGAAAAATATTATTTCCAACCATGTAGAAAGCATCTGTTTGCTGCCAATTTGATCTTTCTACAGTCTCTACTCCTTCTATTTCAAGTTTCATTCCTTCTCATCAAACATGATGAAAAAGTATTCTCGAGCGTAGCAATGAGTTCATGGTCAAACTTCCTATTAAAGAAGTAAAAAGACAGTGGATGAGAGGTAATGAAAACGACTTCTTTCTAATTCTCATCTAACTTTGATTTATGAATTGTTTAGCTATTTGGGAATATTAGCAATGATTGAAAAGTCATTAGTTATCTATTTGCAAGAATACCTTTTAAGTAAAAAAAAGTTTTATGTGATAATCAAACTAATTTTGTACTAGTTACTCTGTAACTAATTGCCCTGTTTTCAGTGTGACAAGTTATGTGATCGCTTGCACAATGTGGTCTATATTGGCATCAAGAACAAAAATTAATGAATGAATATGTTGCACTCAATTTAACAACAAAATAGTCTTGTCTGACGCTTCGTTACCGAAAAATATGCTAATTCATAGGTCCTGCTGACAGAAAAATTACTTTATGGACAGGATGTTATCAGTTTACTGAATCTAGTTTGGAGCCTCTATTATAAAGTCATACAACTTTTGGTGTCAACATTACTAAAAGCTATTTGACGTCTCAGGAGATCAGAAAAGTTTAGTCCACTAACCAACATCATGGGCGTTGCATTATTCAGTCAAAATTCACCGGATTCAAAGGATTTTTAAAAATTCTTCCCACCAAAACTTTTGAAGCCTTTTTAGAAAACTTTGAAAACCTCTGATATCGTTGAAAGCAATGCAGATTCTTATTACAAACAATATGGGCTACGCAGCCATATGCTCATCTCTACACCTACTTTTTATTAAAATTTGAAATTTCTAACAGACTTGACTAATTTGGCGTTGATTAAATTTTCTATAAAAGTTTGCAATAAATATTCAATATGTCAAGCTATTTTAACTCCGTTCTAATCTATTGCCTCGTACGTGTCGTTATTTCTCATAAGACAGTACGTAGTTAGATAATTAGTGTTTTATGAGAAATAACTAAAACCAAAGGTAGAATAAGTACATAGTAAGACAGAATGAGGTCATAGTAAATATAACAATTTCTTATAAATCGCATTCTTCGTATATACTACTAATAAGTCACAATGTTTCATTTGTAATGCTAACCTATGTTTAATTCTTATACACATACATCTGTTCACAGACGACCTATTATCTCTCTTTTTTGCCGTTTTTGTATCTTGCACACGAATTTTTTGTGACAAAATCAATACTATAGAATAATTTCATTTCTTTTGTTAAAAAGTTTCAGACAACCGAGCTATTCAATGTTGTCTTCAAATTTGTTTTTCATATTGTCTCACATTCTCAACAACGAAGAGGATTAGCATATGCCGCATTGGTGTAACAATAATTCATTATAAAAAATTGTATTTTTAGCAATTAGTCGACAACGTATTTGCTTGAAATATGTTGATCTAGTTTTGTTCCTATTATATCATTCTCTGATAAACTATTTTCAGCTAACTCTATTTTTTCTACTTTTATAACTACTCATAGCACCAGTGTATAGGTTACTGTGAATGAATTTAGATATGTTAAAAGAATATTCTGTTATTACAGATATTACTAGTAAAAGTTTGTGTGTGTTCACAATATATATCAAGTAAAAACGTTAAATCTGACAATGAAGATAGACGAATGTTTTGTATACAATAGACAAGATATCTCAACCGAAATATTATCAGTTCATTCAAAAATTTTCTTTCTCATTAGAATAATATTGTGCAAAGCTTCATTCTAAAGCATCGATCTCAATTTTTAATCTTAGTTATCGTTTTGAGTCAACATTAATTTTTTAGAAAAGAAAATAATGCAGAATCTATTGATCGTGTAGCGGATATTGTTGAAGTTATAGACAATTTTAATGGTGGAGATGTTACAAATATTTGTCGAATACTCATATCTTTTTGTTCATATTTTCGTTTGCAGAATCGATAGGTTATCCATGCACAACATAACAGTGATGGAACAATAACAAGACCAAATATAGCCAAGATACCAGGAAATACACCAAATTTGTATATTATAGATGACTGTTCGCTTGTTGTTAATGGACTCAATGCTGTAATATTGCTCCATTCCAGTGTTGTCAATGTATTCATCGAACATTGTTTTTCTGATACAAAATAATAAATGATGATCTAAAAACCTAAACGAAAATTTTGTGCTTGGAAAATGTTTATTTTGGCAAAATATCGAGCAAAAAATTCGAATTTTATACTGTTTAATGAATCAAGAACAAGGTTACCTGGACAAATTGTTCGCACGTTCATTCACATGTGAAACGGAGTTAATTATTTGTTAATAGTATGACTCTAGAGCGAACTATTTTCAATAAATAAATATTTTGTTATACAACAGTGAGCCTTACAATGTTTTGCTCTTGAAATTAGCACTGGTATGTATTTTTCATCTATTTGCGCAAAAAATAAATATTAAAATCATTGATCGATGTCATTCTTATTCAACGATAGACAAGTTTCCGTTCTGCTTGTAAAGTTCTAAGAGACGATAGGATTGCGCAATGAATCATCAAACAGAAAGAGAAAAAGTTTAATGCATATACATAGTTTACTATAACAGTTCGTACAAATTTTTTACAAATGTACTGTCCATCATTGTAAATTTTTTCTCTTAAATGTTGACTGGCAACTGGTGCCTCGTTCGAGCAACCACGTTTTCTGATTACATTTGATTAAAGGCATATCTGAAACGACAGGAAGGTCAACAGGCAAAAATTTTGTCTGATTGCTTATGATTTGCTCAATTTTAGATGGAACAACTGTATCATTCTGAATGTACAACAAGTTTGCAAAATTTAGCAAACAATTACTCGCGGGAAGATAAAGGGAAACAAAGTTGTGTTTTACTCTCGAGTGGCGCATTTAATCCAATTTGTAAAATTCACATTGCAAATTTGATACAAGCCAGACGATATCTTGAACGTGATTTTAACGTATTAGCTGGATTTTTATCTCCATCGCATGACGATTGGGTAAAACATAAAACAGCGAATAAGGATTGGATTAACTGTACAAATCGAATTAATTTATGTGAATTAGCCATTCGTGATGCAAAAGTAGAAAAATGGATTAGTGTTGATAAAGCTGAATACAATGGTAAGTAAGAGATTTCCTGTTTGTCCTAAAAAAATTAAGTTTTTTATCAAAAATTTAGCTGATTATTTTATTGATTTTCCTCAATTATGTCACAGTTTGTTTTTGTACATAAATCGTTCGAGAATGGTAAGTGGAAGTAAGTTAATACGTGTGATCTACGTATGTGGTTTTAATCTTTATGATGATTGTCAAACTTCGATACAAACACTACTCTCACCTGAATTGAATGTGGCTGTTATGCAAGGTGAAGAAACTGTCACGCAGTATTCGAAACAAGATTATCTATGGTTTTTCGGTATGGATTACAGGCAATATTCAGAAGTGACAGAATTTTCTCAAATAAGAGAACGACTAGAACAGAAAAAAGCATGTGACAAAATTACATATCCATCGGTTATCGATTACATCAAAACATTCTGTATTTGCATCTGATGATTTCTATTCTTTTTCTTCGTACGCGTCTTAACTGTTGTCTTATATAAGTTATTTTAATATTTGTTATTTTGTTTTGAAAACTATTGTTTCATAACATTAGTGATTTATAGTGAAAAATTGATAAAAATAGAATGTTGAATGTAATCATTCTAACTAGTGTCCGTTAGCTCTAAGATCCATGCAAAAAAACATTTTTTCTACGCTAACAAAAGATTTGATTTAAACATTATTATAGAAGAAACAGTAGTCAAATCGGGCTATGCCCATTGCATGACACTCGCAACAGATTTAACACATAGGCTAAATTATTTGATTTTTAAATTATGTGTCAAATAGACTTTGCCAAAAAACCAGCAATAATAATAACATACGAGAGACAAGATCCACGAAAAAAGGACAACAAGCGTTTAGAATACAATGCAGTGTTGATATTTATTGCATCTTTGTGACTTGTTTCTTCACGGCTAAGTGATTTATCTTGTGAATAGAATGATACAGACACATTTTCAATTAAGAACACATTATCGGCCATTGAGCGTAAGTGTCTTCCAGAAAACTGAAACTTTTCCGCTTTAGGATTGAACTGAACTACCTAAAAATGTATAATACTACCTAAAGTTTGAGGAGAACCGGCGTATAATTTACTATAACGTTGGATTAAATTCCAGCTAATGAATACAACTGCAACTATAGCAAACTCGAACAATACCATCACTATTATATTATATTTTCTTATGTGTTACTCGATGACACTTGTTGTTCACTTAAATAATTTATTTCGTCAATTATTGATTTGTTGAGAGGTAACACGAAAGCATGTTTGTTTGCATTATTCGATTGCATAACAAAGGGGTGAGTGCCTGTCTAAAACGAAATGGATAAATGCTTTCGTTAAGCTCTCCAAACGCTCGGTCCCTCTCCGTCTAACTGAAATGTTCGTTTTATCTACCGAAAAACCGACTTGGTTGTTCATATTGAATGTTATACAATGACATAGCATTGTTATATATTCGATGCATTTGAGCGACAACCGATCGCGAAATTCTGCTGACCTCTCTCTGGTGGTCGCTGGAGCGGTTGGCCTACTCTTCATACGAGGGGTCTCCACTCGTAGCAGTGTACTAAAGTCGAAACAAGTCAATCTCTGAAATAAAAGTTAAAGAGTGCACGCTCGCTCGTTGAACAAAAAGAGATAGTTTGATTGAAACACGCATTTTTAAAGATGTAGAAAGGAGATTGGAGAGGAATCCAGGGTCCAGAGATACTAATATCAATGAATTAAATAGACAATATTCGAAAAAAACAAAATATAAACAATAATGACACTTACTTTTCTTGTTTCGTTGATAGTACTAGTCGAAAAAAAATTCAAATGAAGTGGAGTAGACAAATGCATCGAGCATTTATAGGTTTGAAATATAAACAAGAAAATGGAATATAGCAGTGAAAATTTTATTGTAATCTGTCTATTGGATATGTTTTACGGATTCATCCGTGATTGGTTTACTTGCTCCAAAATATTTTTTATGCTGTTCTTTTTTCGTTTTTCTTTTTCCAAATATTTCTATTCTTTTATTTACAGACATATTGAAAGAGAGAAGATTTATTTTCGTTTTTCTTTTCGTTCGCATGAAGAATCTTCGAAAGTAGTGGTAAACAGACAATCAAACATATCAGACTTGTGATGAAAAACAATATGTATCTGTGTATTTAAATATTAACTTGCAGTTGGGTCTGGTTATCGTACTGTTTGTTTTCTAAAATATTCAACATTGGTAAACGCTCTTTTATCAGACACGTTTTATATACAGATGCATATTATGTGGATGTACTCAAGGACATTTAGTACTGATGCTCATTCTGGTATTGAGATGCTTCAAAATTGCGGTTTTGTTACAAAACATATTTCAGCCATTGAATCAAATATAAGAATGGTGAAATTTAGACACGAGATTATTTAGTGGAAGGAGAAAGATAATCCTTCGCATCCTCAAAAAGTGTCATTTAAAAAGAGGTACTTTAATCAACGATAAAAATGAAGTTCTTCAAGCGTTTCATTCCGTACTTCTATTCGGAAAGAACAATTCATCAATAATAATAAAAATTGTCCCGACCCCGTCTGTCTCACCAGATGGGTCAGACGGCATGGTATTCGGGGCTGCCCCGCAGGAGTCTATCACACGGTCGTATATCCGATAGCTATGATTGTCATAAATGAAAACAAAATGTAAAGAAAATTTTTCATTTAAGATCTCGGAACAACATGAGTGGGTTCACTCAAGATCTTGAAATTTCTGTTCTCAAGGTCATGACTTCTTGTTGTTTTTTTCAAGATCTTAGGTGCAAGAAGTTTCACTAGTGTAAAACATTCGTAATTTGATATGAATCTAAACTAGGTTCTACGGATCGCTTGGAGATATCCAAAGTGGGAATATATCTCTAATATATTCTTCATAAAAAATCAGCTGTATTTGGCAAGTTTCGTTATCAGCGCATGATGTCCTTTGTTTTATCAAAAACAACGATATCTATCTGTTACTGCATCAGAAAGTCTGCATAGATGTTCTTATCCCTTCTCGAGTAAACATTTTGCTCCAACTGTCTGAATATTTTATTTTCTCGGTCCTATTTCAATATGTTGACAAAATGTTTCCATTCAGTCCCACCAATATTTAGTCCCTCGTTGTTCAGTCCTAATTAAAGTCAAAAGATTAGCATTGTTGTAAAAAAATTGCTCTAATTGCTGCTTATCTAAAAGAATTGCTCATCTCCTATTATTGTTAGAAGACCGAAAGTTTTCTAGACACCCTCGGAAGACTTCTAGATAGCATAAAACAAATCACTCGCTGTTACATACAGACGATCACTCAGAAATCGATAGAAACATGAAATTGGCCTAAATGGATCTTCTAGAATTAACTAGATTGACTTGCCTCTATGATTACTTGATTTGATTAATATATATGGCTTTCGGTTCATTGTTCTACTTGCGATTTTTTTTCCACCTAACGTAACACTGTAAAGTTGCGTCCTCTATTAGCGTTATCTTTTTATCATTTATTGTTTCTTCTGTTTTAGAGATCTCGTCTTCCTCTTGTTTTAGTCTTCTGCGACATATTAATGAATAACATTCATGCTCTCCGCTTCGTTCTCATGCTTGGCTTATCCATGGAATATCTGTCAGCCATTTTTCCGTATTTTGCACACAGACAGACACCGTTTTGTAATATAAGACCCTCGACTAAAGTCAAGGGAAAACCTAATCTTATCGCTACGAAACGCTGGCCTACTGTCCGTATGTTTGGAGGAGAGTCGCATGTTGATTATTTAGATCCACTAATGATTCTGTGATAATTTGGAGAGCTGAAGTTACTGTCGCACATTTGTGAAACTAAACAATTTAATTTATACTAAAACTAGAATGTAGGTTGGTTGACAACAAAAATTAAAATGATAAGATATCAAATTGAGAGTAATAGTCTACGCTGTATGAATGAACCAATATTATTTTAAGATGAAATGTATCAAGAGGAATTTGTGTGTTAATACTATTGTACTATTACTAACACATGATCTAACAATTTCAAATTAGAAAACTGAAAAAAATGAGGTTAACACGATATTCACAGCACCTTTAGAATCTTTAGCATTTACCTATAGTAACCACTTATAGGAAAACAACAGCCAGCACTGCATCATTTATCGTCACAATTGATTTGAAATTGAGGTGTGATCATCTATTATTTTAATATATTACTCTCAAATTTATCGAAGTTGAAATGTTTACTGTTCTCTCATCCATTTTTCGTCGATAAATCTCAGGAAAAAAAGAACTGATCATCAATGAAATAGATTAATTAGTTTTACATATTAGTTAAACAAATACATCTAAGACTCTAAACAATTTTTCGTCATAAGACTCATAATATTTCTTATTGGATAGTTTTGTAGAGAATCTATAATTATTTTTAATTGGACTTTAGATTATAACGAATGGAAGCATCTAATACAAATACAAGCTGGAAAGACAAACCACCCTACGCTTTTACGGGTGAAAGTAAATCGTTTAAGGCCAAATATTCTGCTCAATGTTATTGTGGTAGTGTTCAATACGAGATCAATGATGATCCTGTCGATTCCACTTATTGCCATTGTAAAGGATGTCAACGGCTACAAGGTGCTCCATTACAATGGGCCAGCATTTTTCACAAATCTTCGATTCGTTTTACAAAAGGTGTAGATCAGTTGATCTTCTATAATAATTCAACTAATAAACAAACACATGAGTTACCATGTAAGGTTTATTGTCGAGATTGCCGTACACCGTTAGCTGATGAAGGTCGGAATATGTGGTTGGCATTTCCGATGTTATTCAAACAATTTGATGAAATGAAAGAAAAACTAAGACCATCGTGTCATCTATTCTATGGACAAAGATGCGTGGACATCAAAGATGGACTACCGAAATTTGAAGGACATAAAAATAAATCACAACAAATTCAAGAATAAACTGGACGATTATCATTGTACTCAGCTTCTAATAAAAACGGAATGCTGTTGCCATTAAGAATATTTTTAGTAGACAAGTCATATGCCAAGGCTGGTATCGACGTCTTTAAAGCTTCGATCTATTTTTGAAACAAAAATCAATAGTTTAATCAAAAAAGCTTCTAATATCAACGTATGATTGTTGTTTTTCTCACCACTCCATTTATAATACATATTCGCATTCGATCAGATAAAGGAACTATAAGTTTCACGGTGATCTTTGACCCCAAACGGGATATGCACGAGCTGGTAATCCCCTTTTCTTTAGACCTTTTTAAAAATATTTTGAGTTTTGAGTTTACTACTGTACATTGTAGAATAAAGTGTCCTTTACAAAATAAGCTATCCGGGACCTTCCGTTGAGAAGATATACGAATTTTTTAAAGTGTGTTACTTTACGCGGAAAAAATCCTATATTTTTACTTTCGAAACTTTTTTCTCATCCATTCAGTATTTGACTTTTCAAACAGTAAGTCTTGCAGAGTAAAGGTTTTTCTACAAAATGAGATGTCTCTCAGCTCTCCACCATGTTTTCTAATAGAATTATGCTCATTTTGCTGAAAGCCTTTGAAAAAAATCACATTTGTGATATAACGTCCAAATTGATCATAACTCTATTAGAAAACATGGTGGAGAGCTGAGAGACATCTCATTTTGTAGAAAAACCTTTACTCTGCAAGACTTACTGTTTGAAAAGTTTATCAAATACTGAATGGATGAGAAAAAAGTTTCGAAAGTAAAAATATAGGATTTTTTCCGCGTAAAGTAACACACTTTAAAAAATTCGTATATCTTCTCAACGGAAGGTCTGACGGTGCACATTAGGTTTCGACAATATATACACCACTGGATAGAGCAAGTTTTCCTCTACAAGTTCATACATATCCCTTTTGGAGTCTAAAACTTATAGTCGCCAGCTATACGCTGATATCGGACTAAACAACAAGTTGAACGAAAGGAATAAATGCAAAATACTTGTTATATTCATTTCATCTCCCTTTTTTTCTTGATAGGATTGCTAAGGTTTTTTTGAACAATAAATAACATTATTCTAGCTCAAATAGTATACTCGTAAAGTGCATCTAAACAATTTGCAAAGTATCAATACCAGATGTTTAAAAGAACGTTTAATATTATTAGTTTCTGGATGAAATTTACCTTTGTCAAAAGTAGTTTACAATAAATAAATTGTCCAAACTTCAAATTGAATGTAGTGAGGAATTCTAGGATATATATTTATATGGGCATCTATAAGATGGAGGATGGAAGACTGATAATTTATTTTATTCAAATAGAACTTAAAATGCGAGAAATCAATTCTTAATTGTACTTTAGTTGTTAGATAATGTAGTTTGACGTGCGCGACAGATCTCGTTTTTTAAATATTCAAAAAGGATCAATAGTTAGCTTCACAAACATGTGTAAATTATATAAGAATTAAACATGAGCTCGAATACTACTAAATAATTCATCTTTATGGCAAGATTATACGAAACCTTTTATCATACGAAGCCGATCCCAATGCGCCAAACTGAAAATATGAACAATGTTCAATATGTTTAGATCTCAAAGCAGATGTGTATTTTATTCCTTGTGGTCATGTATGTTCGTGTGATCCATGTTCATCACAACTATCTACGTGTCCTATATGTCGAACATCAATTGCAAATAGGCAAAAAGTATTTTTCAGTTAAATCTGATCGGACATGTCTAGGAGACATGTTCGAGATTATATTTTTGTTTCTAAAATCAGATCAATTTTCATGTAATGCAAATAAAAAATGTTTTCGACTAATCTAAGTTCCAGTAGTCGTTGCATTTTTGGACTTATAAGCGATTAATCTAGGTGTGAGAGATATATGGTGAATGTTATTTCATCACATATGTGCAAAATGACCGTTTTCATGAACGTTGATCCAGTTGTTTGTTGATTAAAGAGGAAAAAATCTGCATTTAACTAAAATTTCGTTAGACACTCTGTAGAAAATCGTGCAATAGCTTAGTTTGGGCGTAATTAAGTGGAAAGTTGGTGTAGGAGTATTTATTTAAATGCCATGAATCTCCTGTACGATCTATTTGTTAATCTGAATGCATCTGAGATAACAGAGGGATGTCCAGAAAATTAGACCCTGAATCAGCTGGTCTAGTATTCTTCTTTATGCTAACGTTGTCATCGTCATTGTGTCGTTTCGAAAACTATGATCTGAGCAACTTGAGTTCGATACATTGAGCAAGCACAAATATTATCTGAGAGTATAGAAAGAATGGCCTGAAAATTATTTAACGCTCCTACGGGGAGGCTTACTAAACGAGGATCCAATAATTTGGCACGCATATTCAATGTAAGCCTATAACTGTAGCAAACGAATTTGATAATATTATATCCTTGTACTATTTCTCTGATAAACATACATCGGCTATAAAATATAGTGTGGTAACGAGAAGATGTTCAAAATGTATTGTTTGTAGCATTACAGAAAATAATCCACAACATCAAATGAAATTTGAAAAAGATAAAAAGAGTATCAAGAAAACGCTAATTGAATAGCAGTCAATAACTCGATCCATACCAAGGAAGATGAAAACAAAAACGCTCCAATCTATTACTAAAAAAACATCGTTATATACTGAAACTGTAAGCTCAAGTGTTAATGATAGATGAAGAAAAGTTTTATTGTTTCGTCAGAGTTAATTATTGTGTACTAGATAACCGTCAGAAACACTCTCCATCCGCCACAAATCACATTCTACATTGTAACATGACTTGAACGAAACTGACACACTACTTTTCCAGCGTAATCGTACATTTACACTTAATTATTGCTCTTTCATGCATGCGCAACATTCGGCTTGTTTTACTGAAAACAAGCTGCGACTCTTCTCGATTCAAAAACAGCTTTTCTTCCAAGAAAATGAACGGATTTTCTGTTGTGTGAGTACTAATTAATTAGACTAAATAAATAGTGAAGACTTGAAATGACTTTTGCATCCAATCGCCCCAGATCAATTTCTTCATACGTATAGATACTGTACATTCACTAACACAGGCACGTATGATGCATTTTCAGACATGCTACCTATGTGATTGATCAGATATTATTCCACGATTTATGGTTTTCGAACAGACAGAACGTAAAAGTATTTTATTAATACCCTGAACTAAAGTGAGGGAACTAGGCCTTAGTTTGCAAATTTAAGATTGTCTATTTACATTGATGATATTTCCAATCCTTCACAGCGTAGGCATTGTTGTTGTTGTTATTCTGGTTGTCAATAATTTACTTTTGCGTTATTTTGTATCTCATTCGTCTTATCTTATTTCTGCAATAAGCGACATGAGATTCATAAATAGGAGCCTTTTTCTGTATATTAACTGATAGCTTGTTAAAGTCTCACCTATATCGATAATCATACAGAAATTGGCTCAATTTTCGTCTTAAGATACATCAGCCAATATTCATTAAATCTATCGTCTGATTGTCATTTTAATCAGTATCAAACTAAAAAACATAGAATCAAAGAAGATGAAGCATGTGGTGAATAAGTATCAGCCGTATTTACGTTTTATGTATCTTTTTTCAATGGTAATAACTGATCTGGATTATGATAATATTCTCATTAGTCAATAAGTAATTCAGGAGGGTGTTTCATAAAAATTCTAAAGTGCTCGACTTAACTAAGTCTAGACTTTAGTCAGACTTAAGTCTTCATTTTGTCACAGAACGAAGACTTACATCCGACTTAAGCCTAGATTTAGTTAAGTTGAGCACTTAAGAATTTTTATGAAACACCTCCAGGATTACTAATTGAATACTTATATAGCACGAAACTACAAATTCACACGGGAAAGATTGAAGACTCTAGCAGCAAAAACGATACGTACATTTTTAACTTTGTTCTCGACAAATTTTACATAGATGAAGTGTTATCTTCGTAATTTTATCATCGGAATCGTAAGTGAAAATGATAATCGAAAAATTGAATAAAAATCGTGTAAACAAAAAAGAAAATGTTTATCAAATTGTCAGCTTACACATTTAAGTACATGTTGAAGCAATTAAGGACAAAAGTACATTCTGTTATAATAACCCAAAGGTGGAAAAGTAAAACAAACAGAAATTGCGCAAATATTTTTCTTTCATTTGATTCTAATCGGTTCTTCTCATTCCAAGCGGTTAATGCGAAATAAGTGTGCAAATAAATCAAGTAAGTTGTAATGATAATGAATCAATCGCTACTATCAACATCTCACATATAGCACCAAACAATTCACTCTCATTGTAGTTTATTTTAACTGTCCTGTAGTTTAAAGTACAGACAAAATTCATGCTTTCAGCTGTCAAGCGACAAGACCGCAATGTATCTGTATATGCAGACGCCAATCACTCCTCTAACTTTTTTGCATGCATGGCTTTAAACGTACGAGAGAGATACCGTGAATCAAGCATGCCTCAATTGTAAAAATGGACTGGTCTTTGGTGTTTCTCGGCCACATAACCCGTCCACCTAGTCTGTATTTCACCTTACTGTGGCTATGACTCCTTACCGACCAATCGTATACTACATATTTGCCTTCATTCTGTTTCGACGTGTTTTTACAATGCGGAGATGTGTCAACATCAGTTAATTCTTCCTTGTTGTGGAAGTGCTGGGCAAAGCATGAAAGCAAGTTAGAAGTCGACTGTTTTCATCATCACATCTAGGTTATCATAGTAAGAAGAAATCACATCAGAAGACGCATCTAACACACTTTAAGGTTATCAAAGCAAAATATATAATGTCGCGTAGAATGGCATCTTTGAGCATGCACCTTTGTTTAACCTTTATTAAAAGTACTTGATTTTTTTGTTTGTCTGCTTTCTAGATGGAACAGAGATAAGTTAAAATTTAAATTGAAAATATATTTGATCCCAAATATTTCTTTAAAATCATCAGGTTATATACAAACATCAATACAAGTA